AAAGAGAGAAAAACGCATAGAAAACATGATAATTGAATATAATAATGACTCGGGATTTTCTTACTCTTGTTTTAATTCAAGATCTTCATGGTAAAGGTCTAGGAAATGCTTAAAACGTTTGCCACTGTGTAGTAGGAAAATCTAATTATTTTCCTAACTTTATTCCATCTTTTTCTTCCTCATGCACCTGGATGAGTCAAGAAATCTCTAGGAAGAAAAAAATTACAGTCATTACAAAATCACTAACATTTTATCTGGTGCACAGGGTGTGATGATGACACACAGGAATGTTCTAGCTACAGCTTCTGCTGTTCTGACAATTGTACCCGGTCTTGGAAGCAAGGATGTTTACTTAGCATACCTGCCGCTTGCTCATATTCTCGAGCTTGCAGCAGAGGTAATGTACCAATTTTGACCAAATTTGTTGGGTGTATGATATATTCATGTCTTTACTTTCTTTCTAGTAAATTAAAAATCTGATATTTTCTGCAGACCATAGTACCTGGGATTGGTGGTTCTATAGGATATGGTTCTCCTCTGACCCTTACTGATACTTCAAATAAGATAAAGAAAGGAACAAAAGGAGATGCCTCTGCGTTAAGCCCAACTGTGATGGCAGCTGTCCCTGCCATTCTTGATCGGGTTCGAGATGGTGTGCGTAAAAAGGTATAACTGAGGACTCAAAATATATATTTTCTTAGTTCATTTGGTTGCTTCTGCATACATATTACATGTTGTTGGTACTTAAAACTAACATTGGTAAAACTCAGGTAGATGCTGCAGGCGGATTATCCAAAAAACTGTTTGATTTGGCATATTCTCGTAGACTGTCTGCAATTAATGGTAATTGGCTCGGAGCTTGGGGCTTAGAAAGACATTTCTGGAACCTTTTAGTGTTTAAGAAGGTTCAAGCAATTCTTGGCGGACGTATCCGTTTTATCCTGTCAGGAGGAGCTCCTCTCTCAGGTGATACTCAGAGATTTATCAACATATGCCTTGGGTGAGTAACTCTGAAATTACTTCTCCATTTCTGATTGTGGTAATTTTGACCTCTCACCCCAGAAGATGATGATCTAAGGGATTCACTAGTTTAATATCACATGAAACTAATATATAAGTTCGAATTGACCTCTTAGCATGATCCATAAGCCATTGAGTTGATGGTCTAATGTGTTTTGTTGATATACACAATGTATAATGAGTTACCCACTTCTGGAGATAAGATTTCAGCAAGAGTAACCTTCTCAACTTCAATACCACCTGCTTCTTATAGTCTCCAGGTTGATCTGGCTGCACATAGTATCTCTTTCAACAATCTAATGCATACATGAAATCTCACCACTTTGCACTTTTTTGTCTATAAACAACATACTAAAGAGTTGGGTAGTTATTGTGGTGGAAATAGGAACTCTTGTTGCTGTCTTGCCGAATGAGAGTTTTATTCCTCTCCTTAGGTTGTAGTTGTCACTAACTGTCCTAATATAAAGTGTCCAAAGAATACTTGTTGATGTCCCTCAGGGGTTTGTTCTACCCCTTAAGTTCTCTTTGCCATTGTTTCTGAAATAATGTCCAATTTATAAAAACTTCAACGTAACGATTGTTCATGTTTGTCTATCTGCTGTTCTAATGATGTAAATCTAGAAGCTGATGACTTGAAAATATATATCTGCCTTACCTGTTTGCTGGATTGTAGGAAGAGAATCCTGAGAAAACCTAACCTTTAGACTTTTAGAGTGGCCATTTATTTTCTTGTGTTCACCCTTTGTTCTAATTAATAACTAGCATCGTGAATTACTTGAATGAAGAAATTCAATGGTAATTAACAAAAAGAGTGATGCTTTAATAAAGGAATCCACTTCCATCATAATAGACATGTTCTGGTGTGGGTTAAATTGACTTAACTAAATTATTGTCAACAATAACAGTGGCAAATAATATGCAGCTTTACATTGTTTTCTCTTCTTGCTAGCATCTTTTTTATTTCTGCAGACTTCTCATCTTACTTGGTTTATTTTCCTTAGTGCTCCAATAGGCCAAGGTTATGGTCTTACCGAGACCTGTGCTGGTGGAACATTTAGTGATTATGATGATACTTCTGTTGGACGTGTTGGTCCTCCACTTCCTTGCTCGTACATCAAGGTAAAGAAGAATAAGCAGAGTCAAAGCGTAACATTCCTCTATATCCGTGTATACTGCTATAGTTATTACTTCATTTGTCTAACCAATTATGAGAATTACCCCATTTTCAGGTCAAGAATTATGCATTTCAAACTTTAAGAAAGCATTGTAGTAATCTTATTACTTACATCTCTCACATTTATTTGTTAAATCCTGTGGTTTGCATTTTATCTTTTATGTAATGCTCTTGTTCCTGTGCCTATCCTTATATGGTTTAAGTTTCAGATGGTTCCATTGTAAGTTGACAGAGTAGTAGATAATTATGCAACTAGGAAAAAATTACCCCATTTTCAGGTCAAGAATTATGCATTTCAAACTTTCAGAGAGCATTGTAGTAATCTTGTTACGTTCATTTCTCATATTTATTTGTTAGATCCTGTTGTTTTCTTTTCATCTTTTATGTAATGCTCTTGTTCCTGTGCCCATCTTTATATGGTTTAAGTTTGAGATGGTTCTATTGTAAGTTGATAGAGTACTTGATCATGATCCATCACAACATCTATCACAATGTTTGTACTTCAAGGGTGTGTTTGGTACGAAGGAAAATGTTTTCTTGAAAAATGTTCTCCGGGAAATTAGTGGTTTCTTACTTGTTCTCCTGTGTTCGGTATGTAACAAAAAGATAATTATCCTAAAAGCATTTGTCTATAATCTAGACAAATACTATGAGGGGTGGGTAGTTTTGGGGATGGGGGCTACATGGGTGGGGGTGAAAATGAGGTGTGTCACAATCAATGTGGAATGCCACTGGTGGAGCTTGTTTTCCTACTTCCACTTGGGAAGTCATTTTCCTCATTTTTAAGGTACTTGTTTTTCCTAGAGAAGGTGTTCTCCAAAACTTTGACCAACCGTTTTCCTCCATACCGAACACACCCCAAATATCTGTTCTCACCCCCCCCCCCCCTTCCCCTCATTACATTATAATCATCTTGCTTTCCAAACTTTTTTGCTGTTCAAGTCATGAGAAACTGTAACAGCTCTATAATTGCTTCTGAATCAATTTTTTTTAGCTTTCACCAGATAATACTCTTAATTAATGTAGTACTTTCATCTGTAGTTGATAGATTGGGCTGAGGGTGGATATCTAACAAGTGATTCCCCAATGCCTCGAGGTGAAATTGTTATTGGTGGACCAAATGTTACTGTTGGATATTTTAAAAATGAGGAGAAGACGAAAGAAGTGTACAAGGTACTTATTGCTCTAAAACTGTATGCTCCGATGAGTATTTATGTTACAAATGTGACTGGTCGATAAATTACAATTTTTTTGCTGTACTAAGGTTGACGAGAGAGGAATGAGCTGGTTCTACACAGGTGATGTAGGGCAATTTCATGCAGATGGTTGCCTTGAGATAATTGACCGTAAAAAGGACATTGTTAAACTTCAACACGGGGAATATGTTTCCTTGGGGAAGGTGCGATCTAGTATTTTGTATGGTATCTTTATTCTAGCATATGAATTATATGCACATTGTCCTGGTTTCACTACCGCAACTCCCCACTTTTCTTTTTTCATTTACTCATGTGGGAGTTGATATGTCATGTGCAGGTTGAGGCTGTTCTTATTGTCAGTCCCTATGTTGACAATATAATGTTACATGCCGATCCTTTCCATAGTTATTGTGTAGCTATAGTGGTGGCCGCTCAAGCTGCTGTGGAAGACTGGGCTAGGAAGCACGGAATTAACTTTGTCGATTTTCAAGAGTTATGTCAGAAGGAAGAAACTATCAAGGAGGTGTATGCTTCCTTAGTGAAGGTATTTCTCATACATGCAAAGTTATTGAGCTTCTTTCTGTTTTCAGTTATCATAAGCAAAGATGTATTTTCCTAATTTGTCTGCTAACCTTGACATCTGTTGGATTAGCTGGTTTTGGCATGTTTTAACATTTCTTCTCCATATTTCCGGAGTTAAATCCTTTGTTGTGTAGACTGCAGTATGGTGAATATTATGGTTTCTCTAATTCATTGAACATGTGTCTTGTACAGGCAGCGAAGGGTGCTCGTTTGGAGAAGTTTGAGATCCCAGCGAAGATCAAGTTGTTATCGGAAGCATGGACACCAGAATCTGGGCTTGTGACTGCAGCCTTGAAGCTGAAGAGGGATGTCATTAAGAAGGCCTTCTCACAGGAACTAGCTCAGTTATATTCTTCATGATTGATTGATTTTACAGAGATAGCAGCTCTTTTCTTTTAACTAGACCCCCACCCCCAAGTTTCTTCAATAAATATTTGTAAAACTATTATAGCCTTTTTGATATGCGTTTTTTTTTGTTTCAAGTATCCTTTTGAGCAAAAAAGGTGAAGGTTGTTTTTTGTCCATCGCACAATCTGGGAAGATACAACTATAGCATGACAAATGAATTCCAATTTGAGATGAAGATCACACCCAACTTGTCAAGTCAACGAAAAGTCTCAAAATGACACAATTCAATCTTACATTAGGTATTCAAAATATACAAGATTTAAGATATTTTTCAAGTGAAAAGTATTGCCAACTTTAGAAAATTGCCCATGAATTCCTCCAATTTTTACTTTTAATCTGAAATTAGTTGAGTAGGATTGTTGAATGGTTGAGTAAGCAAATATGAATTAATGGGATGATTAAACAAAAAAACTGACCATTTCTTATTTCACATTTTGGCAAAATTCCAAAACCGAACTGGTAAAGCAGGCATGCAACCAACGCGTGGCAAAGTCCTCCAGCTGTAGCCTGCAGCAGAGACACCATTGTTTTTCTTTTCTGTTTAATATAAAAGTTTCAAGTGCCTCACTTTGCTAAGATTAATTATAACCTTGTTAATTATTATCAAGAAAATCAAAGTGATGCAGAAAATCCAAATCATTTTCTTGGTTTACTTTTTTGTTGCAGCAATGACAGATTCTGAACCACCATCCACGGAAGCAAAAGTGTATATTGTTCATACTGAAAATCCTCAAGATCAACAACCTGAGGAGTTTCATATCAAGACCTTAGCTTCTGTTCTTGGCAGGCAGGTTTTTGTTTTCTGTCATTTTCTTGCTTGTGTAGATTTTGATTCTTACTAATTTCATGTTTGGACTTGTCTTTCTTCTTGTACTTTCATTTGCATAAACTTTTTTGGGCATAGACAAACACATTCCCCATTAATCTTGTTAATTTTGGCATGTTGTAAGTGGTAGAAAAGAAAGTGGATACACACTTATTCTTGTTAATTGTGTTAAATATTGCATTTTTGTTGTTCTGACGTTTCAATTCTTGATATCTTTTAAGTTTTGGAATTCTACGGCCAAATCTCTCTCTCTCTCTCTCACACACACACACACACACATATATATATATATATATATATATATATATATATTGGTGTGAGATATAAGGTATAATTATCCCAGGTATAAATGCAAGACTATTTTATCATGCGTTTGCATTTGGTTGGAAGTATTAGGCAGTCCTAGAATAATTTATCCCACCATACCTAGTGTGATGACTTGTCAATCCCGGGATAACTCGTTCCCAACCGAATGACCTTCTAATGTGGACTTTTGATAAGTTAGGCTGTACAGTATGATACCTATTGAAAACTAATATACTATAGTAATATAAAAAATCATCTATCTAGATAGAGGTATTCTTTCCTGTAGAGGTTCCCCCACCCCCAACAAAAAGAACACAGTTTGTATAATTTGAGCAGAGGGTCTTTTGGAAACAACTTTCTACCTCCACGAGTTAGTGGTAAAGTCTGCATATATTCTACTATCCCCGACCCCACTTTGTGGGATTTCACTAGGTATGTTGTTGTTGTCAAATAGTACGAGACCATTGATAACTAATATATTAGTACCATCAAAATTCCTGTAACTAGATATGCATATTTTTTCCTGTAAAGACTAAAATCAATGCTCAACTTTACCAAAACTTTATAAGTGAGTACCAGATAAAAGTAAATCATAATTATGCATGCTTGGTTAAAGGACTCTGATCAGCTGATAAGTTGTTGAGTTTCCAGATCCCCCTTTTTTTTACGGTACAGGTGCATTTCTATATTCGGTATACGTAAGATTGAAGTATTTACTGACTGATCTTTGTGTAAAAAAGTGAGGATGCTGCAAAGGAGGCTTTGATTTACAGTTACAAGCATGCGGCTAGTGGATTCGCTGCCAAGCTGACTCCTGAGCAGGTTTCTGAGCTTGCAAGTAAGTTTTATTGATTCAGTTGAACCCCCTTGCACCCTCGTAGTTCCACCCCTGTCCTCAACACCACATGCTTCAATGATTTGTTTTGGAATGAATAAGAAGTGATGAGTTCACGAACTTGTGATAGGCCCTAGACCCCCTCTTCTCTGTATCTTTTTAGATCTTACAAAAAAAAATGATCAAGCTTATACCCTTATATTTCCAATCAAAATGCTTAATGCCTACGTATTTTGATAACATGAGGTTAACATGTAGTTGTAATGAGAGTTGAGAAGGATTTTTAAGCATCTTCCATTCGTTTATTCGGTTTGAGAAACCTTATAACTGGTTTCAGAGACGGTATGCATATCCAGATTTTCTTTTTTCCTGACTATGATTATGAACTTGTTCGAAATTTAGTCATTGGTGGCTTGGAGGACATTCATCTTCTTATCATAGCCCAATACAGCAGCATATATTATGGCTTTATAGCTTAACTAAGTTGTCATTTTTCTCTTTGGCAGAAAAACCTGGGGTCTTGCAAATTGTCCCAAGCAAAACCCTCCATTTACATGGACCGGAGCGTATGTGAAAACCAACTCTTGCGACTCCATCACAAAACCAATCTACCTTGATATGTGTGTGTATACGTTCGTGATCTATGTTTTAACAGTCGGAAAACTTGGTGATGTGAATCGTGCTTAAATAAATGTAACATAATACATAGACTGTGTCTTTTAAACTTGACCTTCTGACATCTATGCCCTCCAACATTGGATAGTAGACACTTAAACTTAGAACAAATAGACGCACATATTCTACTCAGAAAGTACATAGAGAAATGTATGACTAACTACCTCTATTCTTTTCTTCAGTCATTGTATATAAAACTCATTTGACTAAAAGCAGAAGTGTAACCCCCATCAATAACTAGATTATGTCCAGTTACAAAACCAGATTCATCACTAGCTAGAAACAACACAGCTTGTGCTACATCTTCTAATCTTCCACCTCTCCCACGTAGAAGACTTCCTCTTTCCCCTACAATTGAACTCACTTCATTAGGCCTCAGTTCTGTATTACCAAGAAACTTTTGAAACTCACTCACAAGCATCTCAGAAGGAACACCATGAGGTGAAATACAATTAACTCGAATCCCGTGAACCCCTAACTCACAAGCTGTGCTTCTTGCAAGTCCTAAGATTGCCTCTTTAGACATTGTGTAGGAATGAGATGCCAATCCTCCCATAATAGCAGCAGAACTTGATGAACATATGATCGTGCCTCCGCGCTTGCCTGCACAAACAACATGTACTCTCTCAGTTTCAATTTGTTTGTCTGATTTTGACTTGACACAGAGTTATGTGGATGAGTTAAAAAGTAGATAGGTTATTGACTCGTTCAAAAGTTACTTGCCTGCTATCATTGCCCGTGCAGCATGTTTGATGCCATGAACAACTCCATGAAGATTTATAGCAAGGAGTGTCATCATCTGATCCATTTTGATGTTTGTAATGCTTCCTCCAAAGCCTGCAATTCCAGCATTGTTGAACATGATGTCTAATCTTCCTTTCCATTCTACTGCAACTTTCACAGCTGATTCAACTTCTTCTTCTTTCGAAACATCGCATCGCACGTAACGACCTCCAATAGATTCAGCTAAACTTGTACCTACTTCATTCAGTATATCTGCAATCACAACATGAGCTCCATTTTCAGCAAAAACTCTTGCTGTTGCTTCTCCTATTCCTCTTGCACCGCCCGTTATAACCGCAACTTTTCCCCTCAACCTGACACATTCCGAAGAGTTTAAGTTTTATACACTGACGATCAGTAATATAATTTAAATTCAATGAAATGCCAATAAGTATAGGTTGAAAGTTTGTATTGAATATCAAAATACTAACCTTTGGGGGGACAATAATTGTACTAAAGTATCCTTTGTTTCACTACTATTGTGATCCATTTTAATCCAAGTACAAGATAAAAACAATTGAAATTTAACAAAATGATCAAAGATATCAACTATGTATAAATAGTAACTAATTCCAGTGAAGAGAATGTGACCAAGTATATTAATAGCAAAGGAAAAATAGGTTTGTCATATATTTTTTGTTTTACAACTATATCCTACCAGAAATATTTTTTGTTATACATGAGGGGAAAAAAATGCATTTCACGCCTGGATTTTCCATTAGCAAAATATTAGTTTTAAGGGGACATTAATTATTTTTTAAATCTGATGATAATCTTTAATTTATAAGAACTTTCAAGTTTAACATTTTGAAATTTAACAGAATGATCAATATGAAATCTGAATAGTGATATGTTCCATTTTAACTTTAGAAATTACTAATATCAGCTTTCAGCTGTATGCGTTTGGTTGATTCAATACGGTTCACTTTTAGTTAGGGGTGTATATGACCGGTTTAATTCGGGTTTTCAAATATCAAATTAAATTATTTGTGTTAAATTTATAAACCAAACCAAACTAATAAAACTCGAACTTTTTTGGAGTTTTCAACCTCAAGTTTTTTCGGGTTGGTTCGAATTTTTCAAATGCCAAACCAAACCATTTGTGTCGAATTTTTAAATTTTTAAATCAAACCAAACTAATAAATCTCAGATTTTTTTCGGGTTTTTGGACTTTTCTGGTAAAGTATTCATACAAACATATAATTAACTTGTGCTCCAAATATTTCTTTAGTCCAACCAAAATACAACTATCTAAGGTGTTCTAAAGAAAATAACACAAAATATAAGATGAGTGATGACACTGAAATATTCAATAAAAAATAATAATGAAATTGTTATAAAACAAATATTGCAAATTGTTAAGTCATAATGAAAATAATCATAATTTAAAAGTACTAAATCATGCTAAAATAAGTCTAATAAGTATTAATTACATGATTAAACGCTAAGGAAATATTAAAATTAGATTATGTATCTTAAATGTCTAAACCAATGTAAAACTAAAGAACAAATATTCAACATTATTGTCATTCTTAGTGTATAATTAATTTATTTTGTTAGCATTAGAATTGATTTGATTTTGAATTGAGTTTTATTAGAGTTACTAATATCTATGGACTATAATCTTTATTGGACCATTCAAAATTCTAAGTCTAAAAAGTCTTGAAAAAATATGTTAAAAGATAAAAATTATGAAAATGTATAAGGAATATTTAGAAATTACATCAAAGTAAATACTTTTATATAAAATAAATTTTAAAAATTATATATATAATGTCGATTGGTTTAGTCTCGGGTTGACCTTTTTTAGTTACAACCAAACCAACCCAAGTATAGTCGGGTTTTTTTTCTCAATACCAAACCAAGTCAAACAAAATCATTAGTCGGATTTTTTTCAGTTTGACTCGATTTGCGGTATGATTGGATTTTCGGTTCGGTTTTATACACCTCTACTTTTACTTGTCACTTATTCTTCAAATAGATTTTCAATTTTACTTGTCATTTTGACATATCAAGAAAATACAATTTATTTTTTTCATATTTTACCATCAACGTTAAATACTTATTCTTCAAATCATTTTCCAAGACTTAATACTAAACAACATTATTTAATAGAAATAGTTTGATAAAATACATATATCAATACTTATTTTCTTAATGATTATGCCAAATCAAACAATGACGAGTAAAATTGGATGGAGAAAATATAAGTTTTATCATTCCTATATAAAAAAAGATAAATAGAAGAAAAATTCAGAGAATATCTTTCCACTTAATTATGTCAAGTATACGTTATCGTGGTAGACACTACCAAAAGTATACAGCTGCATATGAGTTCTCCTTTAGTTTTCCACCAAAAAGGTTGACAAAAACTGAAAATGCCCCACTTTAAAATATTCTAAGGACTATAAATGCATCATTTAATATTAATATAATACATAAATGCCTTATTTAATTTCGGCCAAATACATACACTTAAATTTGGTATAATACATAAACATGACCCTTAACTTGACTTCAACAGATAACTATGTCCTCTAATTTTGAGTGTGCATAAGTAGACACTTAAACTTACATAAAATTGAATAAGTAGACACATGTATCCTACATGACATAATACACGTAGGATGTCACGTAGGACACAAAATTGTCATGTAGGACGAATGTGTCTATTTGTTCAATTTTATACAAATTTAAGTGTCTACTTGTGCACACTCAAAGTTAAAGATAATAGTTGTAAGTTGAGGCCAACTTAAAAGTCATATTGATGTATTATGCCCTTAATTTGTATAAGGCCAAACACATATACAACCCCTCTAACTTGTCCGCATTTTTCATTTTGACACTTTATCTTAGCATTGTTCCATTTTAACCCTTAAACTTCATTTCTTATGTACCATTTTAACACGAAATACTATTTTTATGATTTCTTTATTTTTATATATATTCTTCAATTGCAACTTCTTATTTTAAATCGACATGTGTCAGTTAATTTTAGTTTTTTTTTAAAAATCTTTTTAAAAAATAATAATTTTCTTTTTAAGAGTTTTATGTATTTTTGTGTGAAAAATAACCGGCGAAATTGTGTTGGTTTTCTTTCTTAAAAATCACCGACAATCTAACAAAATCAGTCGAGTTTTAACATATTTTAGTTGTGTTATTAGCAATGAACAAGAGTTTTTTTTACTCGTATTGAAGATAAGTTTTTTTATTCGTATTGATTTATATTAAAAATAAAAAGTGAGTATTTGCATTAAATTTAGATAGCCTAGATGATAAGAAAAAATAAATAAGTAGTATTATTTAATTTAATTGAACGTTTAAGAAAGAAAATCAAAAAACTTTCGTCAATTTACTTTCATGCAAAAATACAGAGAAATCTCAAAAAATAATATTATTGTTTGAAAAAATTTATGTTCGTTCGCGAATGTTTAATTTTTTTTATGAAAATTAACAGACACACGTCTATTTTTAAAAATAAGAAATTGCAATTGAAGAACATAAATAAATAAAAAATCATAAAAAATAGTATTAGTGTTTAAATGGTACAGAAAAAATGGAATTTAAGGATTAAAATGGAACAAGGCCAAGTTGGAGTGCCAAAATGAAAAATGAGGGTAAGTTTGAGGGGTTGTTTATGTGTTTGGCCTATTATTTCTTTAAGGGAAAAAAGCTAAACTATGTTATCTAACTTTGAAAAAAGACTTATTTATGTTATCCATTAAAAGTTTGGTTCATCAATGCTATTTTCGTTTGACAAAAGATTCATTCACACAATTATTTGTTAACCGAAAACAATTTCAATTTTGCAGAACCATTTTTTCGGCCACGTCATTAATTAAATCATATTTTTATATCGAATTTTGAGAAAAAAAACTTATTTATGTCATCGATTAAAAATTTGACTCATCTGATGAACAAAACTCTTAACGAATGACATAGATGTGCCTTCCCTCGAAATTTGTTGACGAGATCTTTCAATTTCTTTAATATTCATTAAAAACATTGATCCAAAGTGGAAAGTTAAGGATGAGTTGGACATTTTCTTTTAAATAATGCAACGTGACTCCATTTTCCCCAAACGCAAGTCCAAGTCAACTTGAGACACCATATTCCCCGCCAGATAACCATGAAACAAAAATCAACATTAACAACAAACACAAATTCATAAATTTTCCTCAAAATCAACAAACAACATCTCTATTTTTCTCAAAAACAAGAAAAAAAATAATCAAAGATTAGACAATAGAAGAATACATTATCAAGAAAAAGAAGAAGATAAAAAAGAATCTTGATTTCAAGAATAGCAAAAATGGAGATCCCTAAATCTGAAAATAGCAAACCCCCAACAGTTTCATCATCAACAAAATCATGTATGAATGTTCTTCCTTACCAAACCCCAAGAATAGGTGAGCACTATACTCTTGGGAAGAAACTAGGGCAAGGTCAATTTGGTACAACTTATTTATGCACAGAGAATACAACAGGTCTTGAATATGCCTGCAAAACAATCCCAAAAAGGAAGCTTTTTTGTAAGGAAGATTATGAGGATGTGTGGAGAGAGATTCAGATAATGCATCATTTGTCTGAACACCCTTATGTTGTTAGGATTAAAGGGACTTATGAGGATAATCTTTTTGTACATATTGTTATGGAGGTTTGTAAAGGGGGTGAGCTTTTTGATAGGATTGTTCAAAAGGGGCATTTTACTGAGAAGAAAGCTGCACAATTGATGAAAACTATTGTCAAAGTTGTGGAGGCTTGTCATTCTCTTGGGGTTATGCATAGAGATCTCAAACCTGAGAATTTCCTTTTTGATAGCTCTGATGAAGATGCTAAGCTTAAGGCTACTGATTTTGGTCTCTCTATTTTCTATAAGCCAGGTTTGCTTTCTTCTTGAATTTGCTCATGGGGTTGGTGTAATTTCATCATTTGGTTAAAATTTAATGATTTTCATTGCTTCTTGTTGATGACATTCTTGAAAACCATCCTTTTTCTATATTTATTATTGTTTTAGCTTTTTCTGTGTTAGTTTCTTTTGAAGATACCTTCTTTTTCTACATTGATTGATTTCCTTTATGTATGTTTCCATTGAAGAAAATGTGGTCAACATCAATGAAAAGTTATTTGCTGGCTTTTCTATCCTATTTAATATGTTGTTCTTGTTTTTTCTCCTTTAAAGTTTACATTTGTTTTGGTTTACTTTAAGGTTTCATTAATGAGCTTCTTTGTCATCTGTCTTGTTAAATTCGCTTTGGCAGTGGTAGAAACTTTTACTGCTTTGTTGGTTTCCTAAAAGGGTTGAACTTTACCTTTGATCTTTTGTATGATGTAATGGAACTCCAAGTGTAGAACTGCTTCCTGCAACTCTTTATACTTTAGTTTCATCATAGTACGCTTGCCTTCTCAGCAATTCAAGAGCCCTCTTTTTCTTTATGTTAAGGCATAATACATAAATATGCCCTTGCCCTCCAACTTTAGGTGTGCACAAGTAGGCACTTTAACTTGTATAAAATTGAACAAATAGACATATGCATCCTACGTGGCATCCTACATGACAATTTATGTCCTACGTGGAGTTCTACATGTATTATGTCACGTAGGACACATGTGTGTATTTGTTGAATTTTATACAAATTTAAATGTCTACCTGTGCACACTCAAAGTTGAAGGGCATAGATGACTTTGAAGGGCATAGATGTCAGCTGAAGTCAAGTTAAAGGACATATTTATGTATTATGCCTTTTGTTGATATGTCCTTTTTTTTACCTCCATCTTAGAGTCAGATTCTTCTTCTTGACTTGTTAAATGCAATTGTTTCATCTCTCAACAGTGATCTTAGACAAATTAAGGAAAAAAAACTTGGGTAAAACAAAGCGTGGCAGTAAAAACAATCTGGTAAAAAAGACTCCTTTAGTGAGTTAAAGGAAGGGACATAAAAGCTTCCGTACAGACATAACATTGAACCAAATATAAATTTCCATTATGCACTTCGTGTAAAGCATAGTCGCATCTTAAGCATGGTAATTCCTGATTGCTCTATGATCAAAATTTTCAATGATCTGCTGTGCTTGTGATGAAGTATTGGACAATTTGAGTGTGCTTAATAATGTAACCAACTATCTTCCTCCTTCCTATTTTGCCTTTCAGGGCAGTATTTCTCAGATGTTGTTGGAAGTCCATATTATGTTGCTCCTGAAGTGTTGCACAAATACTATGGGCCTGAAATAGACGTCTGGAGTGCTGGAGTCATCCTTTATATCTTGTTATGTGGGGTTCCTCCTTTCTGGGCTGGTAAAATTTTTACTTCTGATTATTTTGTAGCATCTTTCTTTTTAAACAGGAAGATCAAAGACTAATTCTACTTCTCTCTCTCATGCTTAGTTTTCTTTCTCAATTTTTGACTCGCAGAGACAGACAATGGTATCTTCAAACAGATATTGAAAGGAAAGATAGACTTCGAATCAGAACCTTGGCCTCAGATTTCTGATAGTGCAAAAGATTTGGTAAAGAAGATGCTCACCAGGGATCCTAGAGCACGATTAACTGCGCATCAAGTTCTCTGTGTGTTAAGCTTTTGAAGTTGGTCGCAAAATCAATTATTTCATCTTCGGCTAGGTAGTTAATTTGTTCATTTTTTCAGGTCATCCTTGGATTGTGGATGATAATGTTGCTCCAGACAGACCCTTGGGTTCTGCAGTTTTGTCGCGCCTAAAGCAGTTCTATGATATGAATAAACTTAAAAAGATGGCTTTACGAGTGAGCACTCTTTTATAAGCTTACCTGCTTTTCTTTTAATTAGCTTTTTAGCTGTATCTTTGTTTTGATGTCTGGTATATGATATGCCTCACATAAGTATTTCTGCACTAGCTGTTATGAAGATATGATGCAGTTTCAACTTGGCCTCTTATGTTCAAACATGTTTAGAATGTTGTCAAGATAATTTCACTCGTAGAAGGATCAACATGCTTACTTTATGTTATGATTTGATATCGTTGCACGATGCCGTTCACTGAGTACCTAAAAGCAGTTTTATCATTTGCTGTTCCCCTAGTGCTTTGCCATTTGGGAATCTGAACTTGATGTATTTCAAGATGACTGAAAAATGTTTGTTTTCATAAGAGAATCATGAAAACTTTTGGACTTAATGTGTATTTTGATATTGTTGAAGAGGTAATGAGATCTAAATATGCACAATGACATTCTTACTAACGTCATGCTATCAAGTTCCATTTCCCCTAAAAAAACTTGGTACTGTCGAAGTATATTAGCCTATTTCTGTACAGTTCAGCAAGAATTTACTTGAGAAAGGCTGATTCTTGGACCAAACAAAATTAAAAAACTATCTTTTCTGATCCTCCATCTATAATACAAGATTTTACCTAGTTCAAACTTTGGATGCTTGCGTTGATTTTATACTTGAATTACTATCTAAACAGGTCATAGCAGAAAGGCTTTCGGAGGAAGAAATAGGCGGCCTAAGGCAATTATTCAAAATGATTGACACAGATAACAGCGGAACAATCACATATGAGGAACTAAAACATGGTTTGAAAAGAGTAGGATCTGACTTAACAGAGTCTGAAATCAAGGCATTGATGAGCGCGGTACTTGTTCTTTATTCCATCTCTTTATATAAGTTCCTGATTGGCTATTCGTGAAATGTTCAGTTTGGATTGTGCCCTCTTTGGACAACTGGTAGTAGGATTTGTTCAGTAGATAAGGATAGGGCCGTAGGGGTTATAGACTTATAGTCCATTCCACACAAGCAGCAAAATAACATGTCCAGAATGTTTTCTGTAGGCTGACTTTGACAACAATGGGACTATCGACTATGGTGAATTCATCGCTGCAACATTGCATTTGAACAAGATGGAGAGGGAGGAGAATCTGCTTGCTGCATTTTCCTACTTCGACAAGGATGGTAGTGGTTATATCACCATTGATGAGCTTCAACAAGCTTGCCAAGAGTTTGGCTTAGGTGATGTTAAATTGGAAGATATTATCAAAGAAATTGATATAGACAATGTAAGTCCCCATAACTTTAAACTAACGTTCCAGGAGAATTACAGATGTTAGTTGGTTTTTCTCAACGTTCTCCTCACACGTGAACGTAGTTCTTTTTCTTTTCATCAACCAAACACGTGAAAATATATTTTGGTTTCTTTGAAAGGCCGTGAAATTTGTACTCAGGATCTCCGAGTTAATAATCTTTTTCGTTTGGCAGGATGGACGCATAGATTATGGGGAATTTGCAACTATGATGAAGAAGGGAAATACAGGACTGGCAGCCAGAACAATGAGAGGCAATCTGACCTTCAATTTGGCAGATGCTCTTGGAGTCAGTGACAGTGACAATGGTCAATAGGAGATTGTTTTCCATTTGTATAGCATCATCAATGTTAAATCCAATTCATCAATGTAACTTTTTTTTAAAAAAATTTCTTGTGATTCAGAAGCCTACATAGTTGGCTTAAGGACATAGTTATACAGATATTGTATTTTTACCAACTTTAACTAAATTATTACACTTTTTTATTAAGGTAAATTATAGTGGTTGTTCCTTTTTTCAATTAGAGGACCTGTCCTTCAATTTGGAGAAGTTAGAATTCCTTTTCATGAACGTCTCTGTAATGATGATCCACACACATTTTATATGTGCAAACAACTATAGCTGCCTTTAAAAAATCAACTGTGTAACATGTTTTGCATGTTTTCTGCAGAAAATAGACGAAAACAGCCCTAAAATGAGCACTTGGGTAAATTCTTTCACTAATTTTTTAGAGCACAAAAGGAGAACAATGAGTTCCTTGACCATTCACTATATTTCCCAGCTACGAGTTTTAGACCAAATTTTGTAGATGAACTTGACGAAAAACAATTCATTAGAATAGCTCGCGACATTGCATTCATCTATGAAGGGAATTGCAATGACAATATTATCGTGTTACAATCATAATCTTTTTACTGTGAGTTACTTTTCGCATTACATTAAATACTATAGCCTATCACCTTTGGTTTCAACCGATTACAGGGAGTAATCCAGTTAATATAAGAAAAGGGCAAAGAACAGCAGTATGGAACACTTATCAGCACTTGTGATTGCCGCAGGCAAATCTGTCTGTCACTTGAAAATGCCTTCTCCGATGTGATTCAGGTACTGGAAAATGAAAGGCTGTTACCTGAGTCCTGCCGGCTGCCACTCCAGTTTGTGGTGAAGTCATAATAAAGAAATCTTCAAGTCCCTTTACAAGGGTACAGTCTGTTGGTCCTTCAAGAAATCTCTATTCATATATCCGCTTCCTCTTCAAGATAGTTGGCAAAATTATGAGAGCACCAATGAGGAAAAGCACAGACAAGGTCTTGAAATCATATAGATCTTTGACGGACTTCAGTTCCCCAAGGGTTAGGCCAGCCTAGCAATTTGAAGAATGACAGTAGCACTTATGAGGTCAGAATGATACAAAAGAATGATCGGTTGGATAGCACAAGCAATATTGACACATTCAAGATATCAACCAAAATGTGCCAGCTCAGCCTCGAGTCCTGCCCAAAGCTAAGTTGGCTGCAAATTGTTGGGATCTTTGGTGTGGGTGTGACTTGAGAGACAAAAAATAATCCCTCTGAAGGTTTAGGTACATGCTCATAAGGCAGATCAATCACCAAATTATTCAACTACAGAGTATTTCAACATACTATTCTGCCCAATATTTCTCAGTTCATTAGTCCACTTTATTTTCCTTTTTCTTTTACTGGAGTTAAACAAAGAATGCTCTTGATAAAACCACCCCATCACTCCCACACAAAGTTGCAACTTATCTGTGACAGCTAACTCTCCTGCCAATCAACAGATTAATCATGGTTTATTTTATACTATACAAATAACACTTGCATTGTTGAAGATGAACCATGCAGGTTATTCTAGAACTTCTTTACCAGATGTATCAATAATCGATTCAGGGATACAACAGTCTAAAACAGACTTCAAGGAGCAGAAAATATAGACAAGCAAGAGAAAGTGGGGAAGGAAAAAATAAAAACAAAAGGAAGAAAGAAACCGCGACTATTAACAGAAGAAAGACTTACCTTCACTGTAATATAAGCAGCTGGGATGAGACCAATCACGGTGGCCAAAAAGAAAATATGGAATGGTATATCCACAATAGGAGATGCCAAATTGATGAAAAGATTTGGCAATGTTGGAGTTATTCTCAAAAACAGCATGTAGTTGAGCAACTTATCCCGACGTTTGGCTATCTAAAACCAAAACATTTCACATTAGTGTGCAGTGTGCACCAGAAAGAAAGCTACGATGAATATAGTAAATAAAGAGGCAGCACATCACTAGCAATTGCTTTAAGAAGATTACAGACCTCTGCCTGGAAAAATCTCAACTTTTCAGGCCACATCCAGTTAACTATAGGCCTGCCGATCAATTTAGACAGAAAATAGCAGGATGATGCACCAGCTGTTGCATTAAAGACAACCAGGAGAAGCCCTCTGAAAACACCAAAAAGTGCTCCAGCAAGTAAGGACATGAAAATTGTCCCAGGAATCATAAATGTCTGCATGAATATGTATGTTGAGCAGTAGCCAAGAATAAATTTTGTGGGGTAGACTTCGGCATACATTCCGAGATTATCCCTGGAAAAAAAACTAATATTAACATTGAAACAAAATAGAAGTATAGAATCAGCTGAGAAAATAAGGGAACACCTTGTAAAGCAAGTGATACAATGTCAAATCAAAATTAAGAAAAGAAAACACCATTAGCAGAAATTACATGAAAATTTTCAATCGTAGCGCAACAATGCAAGAAGGTGGAGACCACCAGAGAGACCACACGAACTTACTGTACTTCTCTTTCCTTTTGATAAACAAGACGTCCCTGACAGCCAGTAGAGCAAGGTTCGAAACTCAGTGGATAATGACCTCTCTATTCTTTCCACTTAAATATAGGCTTTTGTCTCGGGAAGAATTCGAACCAACAACGTGCACCCAACCCACATATCACACACTGCGCTCTTACCACTAATTCAAAATCCTGCGGGTGATGCCTACTTACTGTACTTGGCACGATACCTGGAAAATTTTGCAATTACCATTGTTGGCATTCCCAAGCCAAATGTTTTAGGGTCAATGTGTATCCAACCTGTTTAATTTTCTTAATGTCACTTGATCATAATTCTTGTGTCAGATATTTCCGTAAGAAAAATAAAGAGTAATCTAATTTTCTCCAAATGTTTCTGTAAGTCCAACCTTTTGAAAATAAAAGATGTGGTTTTTTCTGATTTTGAACCAAATGACAAGCACATAACATATCAAATGAATAATGTGCTACCTTAAACATCTTCAACAGGAAAAAGTGAATCTGTTGCATCCCCATACTTTCTCCTGTTAATATTATTATCATCACTTGTTGAAGGGGCAATGCACATCCATGCTCACAAGAGTTTGAATCAATGATAAAGCCACAACCCCTCACAAATATTAAGGGAGGTGAATCAAATGTGAACAAGAAAGTCACAATCCATATAGTAATAACTGAGTGGGCACGATTATTGGTTAAGGGGTTACAAGAAACAAGTAGAAAACCTTGTGACATCCACAATAACTACTTCCTAATACAAAAAGTTATGAACAACAAACCTCAGGAACATTTGAGGCCTAAAAATGCAGACCCGTCATGCAACTGCAAGAGGTTGGACAGTGCCATGGTAAACAGTTGGTGCTTTCCTGAGAAGTAACTAAGAGTCTGAATATCCAATTTCTAACTGAACCTCTGCCATAACCTTCAAATGACAAATTCAGGGGCGGAGCCATGTAGGGGCAAGGGGGTTAGTCAGTGGGAAATTACAGTATTCATGCATTGTTAAAATTATTTTTTATGTATATATAGTAGGAGGTTGAACCCCTTTGGGTTTTTCGTGTGTTTACATATTTTGGACCTCCTTATTGAAAATCTCGGTTTCGCCACCAATGACAATACCATTCCTTGAAGAAACTAAAAAGTCAACTAAAAGAATCACTAACTTGCAAACTACGCATATGTATAACAAAATCACCTAAAGTATGAGAATAATTTGCCCTGAATACAAATATATAGTAGTCGTATCTTAGTAAAAACAGGAGCTTATCCATCCCAGAAATGCAGTATAGTTACACAAAAATCAATTCTATCAACTTCAACTCATAATTTCCAATACATTACCTAAAGATCACAGAAATGCCAAAATGAGGAAATATTAACAAAAATAAAAATAAATCAATACCCTACTTGAGAATCCGGAGATCGGAGATGGTACGAGGCAGCTTCAATTTACCATACTCAGTAGGTGGCATTGACAAGTATAAGCAAAACAATCCTGTTGAGAACACCAAAATAACCCCAAAAGCTGCTGCAAATTCCCAACTTGACAATGGAAACCTCCCTTCCTTAAACCTCTTAGCTGTTGGCGAATCCAATTCAGCTGCACACGACATATCCATACTCTTCTTCTCTTCTTCATCCCTTGTAACCAACCGACTTGTGTCCACCACTATATTCCTCGGTGCAGCCATTGACATTAACAAACATTCTAATCTTCAATCATATTGATCCAACCACAAACTTCAAACTTCCAAGTGTACTTCAGCTCACAAATCTAGCCAAAGAAAAATCCCAATAAATTACTGAAAATATTTCAAACTAAAGCTAAATCAAGAACAAAACAAACCCAGATTTTGTTTTCTGAAAAATCCGAATGGAAATGAATGAAATTAGCAGAAAACAGAGAATTGGGAGCTGGGTTTACAGCACAGTATACACAAAGAAGAAAGGGAAAAAAAACTGCTAACGAGAAAGGAGAAATATATAAGTTAGGGATTTGGATATTTTCTTCTATTGTTTTATTGTTTAGAATTTTTTTGTTTGGGATATTTCCTTTTTTTTTTAATAAAGTATATGCTTTTCTTGATTTGGTGGAGATTGAAAGAAAGTGAGAGCTAAGATGGGAAGGGATGCACGAAGGGAAGATTATGAGGGGCGTTTACATATCCTTTATACTAACAGACATATGTGTGTCATAATTTTATCTATCAATTCGACATTTATTAAATATCGGATCAACGGATAAGATTGTGCTATGTGTCTCTATTTAGTCTTCCGTTAGAGTGAATCGCATATACTCTCTAGGTTTTGGATGGTAGGGGCACCAATATCCTAAAAGTATGATGGAGGTATCTACATACCATTCACGATAGTTTGAAAGTATATTTGTCTTTTTTCCGTTTATTCAATTATGAAACTCAAAAAATGAGATCCAATTGGATTTTTCTAGTAGACTTACCAGGAAAATAAAAAGAAAAGTAGAACCTATGGTGTGTTTTGAAGTGAGTTTTTAACTAAAATCATCTCTGAACTATGACTTAAACCTAAAATACATCCTTGTATTATGTAAGTGAACAAAAAATATCCTTGCACTATCCAAAAAGTTACAAGATTCATCCTTCTGTCTATTTTTTTTAAGAAACTCATGCCACCAACAAAAAATGTGTCAAGTCGAATGAATATATGTACACATGGTTAAGCTAGTCAAGTTGGGTGATTTTTCTAATTTTTAGAAAATGAGGGTTTAACATATATTCTGACAAATATATTCAAATTCTAAATATTCTTTGTAAAAAGTATGGCCAAACACAACTCCAACTTCAAAAATTTCAAATAAAGTAATTATTTTTTTTACTTTCATAACTAAATGCCCACGTAATTTCACTAAATTTCTAGCATTTATATACATTGTATAAAATGTGAATTGCATTGTACTGTATATAATGTACAAGCGTATTGAATATTTTATTAAAGAAAATCTCTAAATAGTTGGGCGTAATATTTTTAAAATAAATATTTTTACATAATCTTTCTAACCATCGGAACATACCATGCATATAAATATTTCAAGACTTATGTATTGTCGCAAGTTAATTTACTTGATGATATAAAAAACATATAAACTAACAACATACAAATTTTAAATTCTGAGAATGAAAGATTCATTTCTATCCATATCTTTATTCTTTTTAGGTAACTTTGATCTTCTCATCGCAGCTAAGACATGATTGAATTAAAAAATATTTTTTTTATCGGTTCAGTCCGTTTCTTGACAAAAATAGATTGAAGGATGATTCTTGTTATTTTTTTTATAGTATAATGATGTTTTTTGCTCACTTAGATAATATAAAGATATTTTTTGCTCACTTGGATAATATAAGGATGACATTAGATTTGAGTCATAGTTAAGGAATGATTTTAGTCAAAAACTCGAAGTCAACTCGCCTGCTTTCACTTTTTCCTCTTACTTTTTGACCTTCGAATGTGTAGCTTCTTGGGCTTGTACTTTAAGCTGTCCACCGTGTACATATAACACGGACTTTGGGTCTTTGAAGGAATTTCCTAGCAGTTTGATCCAGTGGTACTCTTAGCTGTCCAGTGTGTACGTATCAAACTGGAGTTTTGGTCTTTGAAGGAATTTTCCACTACCTTCTAAAGGAACTTCGCAAAAATTTCATGTTATAGGAACTTCCATATTCAGAAATTGTTGGAATTGATCTCTTCACACAATTGTTGCTACCAATTAACTGAATCCAAGGACTTTGAATTAAGGGTGATAAAAAG